CTTCTTGAGTGAGCTTTCTTCTCCACGGCTTATGAAGAAGGCTAGAAACAACTCAGTTACTCTGCTCGTGGCTTACTGTGCCCTGGTCTTCCATCATTTCTTTAATCTGCCTTGCTTTTTTTCTGAGAAATTTATTTGATTACAGCTTAATTTTTTTTCCTACAATGACTTGTGTGTTTGAATATTTTTGTTTTGTTTATTGAGACAGGGTTTCTCTGTGTAGCCCTGGCTGTCCTGGAACTCAGAGACCCGCCTGCCTCTGCCTCCTGAGTGCTGGACACACACTGCCACCCCAGCTTCGTGTTTGAATTTGTTTAGAACTTGGATCAGTTAGACTACATTGTATTTGAAGGAGAAAACAGATTCCTCCAAATTGTCCTCTGATCTCCATATGCGTGTCATGCCGTGTCATGTCCTGTGCATATACACTTAACATTTGTGGGATTCACTTAGTTTTGCTAAAAAGAAAGAACAAAAGAAAACTGAACTACTGATCTCTATATAAACTTTCAACCTGAAAAATTATGGAGAAAAACTTCCCTTTAAAGCAGTGTGATGGTATGTTTTTAAATTAGAAACAGATGTGTATAAGTACTGTGCTGTAGGCTGACACATGTGTGCTATGCGTGTGGGCCACGGTGTTATTTTTATTGCTCTCCATCTTAGTTTTGGAGACGTAGACCTCACTGAACCTGGAGCTCTCTGATTGGTTGGGCTAGGGACCAGCGAGTTCCAAGGATCTATCTACCTTTCTCTGTTTTACCTATCTCTGAGATTACAGTTGTGTAGGACCACACCCTGCACAATGCCTAGGATCCAAACTGTGGTCTGCATGCCTTCTCAGTGAACACTTTACCCCACATGCCCCTTGCTCACACTCTGCTGGTGTCTAAGAGTTCACGTTGATCAGAATCTAAATGTCCCTTAACTTTTTTAACAGAAATATGCTTTTTAAACCTATCCAAGCAAGTAGTTACTGTTAACACAAGGCACTGATCAACATCTGGGTTTGAGAAGATGGAAGGATCCCCCTGTTCTGAGGTCTTATGCTTCTGTGTGAGTAGGTCTCTGGGTGAGGTCTTTATAACAACCTTGCTTATATTGCGGATATACTGTTTATTGAGATGCTGTCAGCTCACAGATCTAGAATTACCGTTCTGGTTACAGCTGTTCAGCTTCTCGATTTCCATCCACTTTCCTCAGCACTCTCTCAGCCACTCGGGCACCCTGAATCACCAGTCTCCTCCTCACCTCCCACCTTTCTGCCTGGTGTTCATTTGTGATCTTTCCACTATGATCTTGCTGTGTGTACTTTGCTCACTTCCTCCCCTTATGTCTGAGAGCAGCCACCAAACCAGTGAAAGAAAAATGCAGAGTCAGACTGACTTCTTCACGGCTGAGCCTTCACCATTGACATCCAGTTGTGACTGCTTTGGCTTTACTATCTACGTTTTTCACTGAAGTCTTTGATGGTTGTCTGGCTTGGCATTAGTTGACCTTACGTATCTGCTTTGACCTTCCTTTTAAATATGTTCAGCCTTGGACATTGAAGCCAGTAGAAGAAATAACAAAGATACAAAGCAAAGATCATTATGTGTAGGCTGGATTTGTGACTTGTCAGAATAAGTTAGAATTTCAGGTTTTGATTTCTGTTTGGTTGCTTTATGTCTAATAACAGGCATGTGTTTGCTATGTACCTTTTCATATTTGATTGTTGATCTGTCTAAAACTGGTGTCTCTGATGCTTCTAAGCACTATTATGGCTAATTTTAGAAATGGTTGGTTTTATAAATGTCTCTCCTGTGCAGTAATTTGCTACTTAAAATATGTTCTCAATAAACACATGGCTAAGGGAAACGGCAGCTACTTACTGGAGTAGAGTAGATGCAGAGACATTTTAGTGTCTGGGATTTGGGCTGCTGTGGCTGTGGGATGGTGTTCTGTGAAGACTTAGAGAGAGGTCAACATGTCCTGTTGGCGGGCTCTTTGGATGGAAAACCTTTTCATTTTTCAGGCAATCAAGAGGGGGTAAAAAAAAGAATCAAAAGTGAGATTGTGAATAAAATGGAAAGAATTTTCCTGTTTTCCCCACAGAGACTGTTATTTAATATTAAGACTTTGGCAGGTCCCTTGAGTTGTGTCTTGTACTTGCCAGTAATAAATATGGCTGTTGATCCAGAGTCATTTTCTTACTGTTGTTGAATGAGGTGGTCATGACTTCATGCAGAATATTAGGTATTGCTTGACCCATATTAGTTAGTCGTGATATGTTTAGAATTTTTTAGCATTTTGGCAAGCATATTGATAGTTGTCTTACACAGTCTTTCATTCATTTCAACAAATATTTATTAAATAGTTTCTGTATGCTAGATGCTGCTCAGGAGACACTGCCAGAATCAAGCATACCAAGCGCTCTTTCTTGCTCTAATCTTTCTCACCTTCCAGTATAGAAGAGCTAAAGGTGAGAAGCTAGACGAAGAAGTAGCTCTGTGTATGTATGTAGGAAGACCACGGTGCTCTGTAGTGTCTGAGTTGTCCTTTAAGGTAGGTGGTCTAGGGATAGGGCCTTGTTGAGAAGTCCATACCGAATAGAGAGTAAACAGGAAAAGGAGGCAACTATGAAATCACCCAAGGAAAAGAATTCTAGACAGAGGGAAGAGCCAGTGCACAGTCCTTAAGAGTCCTGTGAGTGATGTACTTACTGACACATACGGAGATTTGTGTCTAGGCCAAAACAAATGTCAACTGTCCTAGTTTTGATATCAGGGTGTTAAAAGCCTCTGAAAGTGAGTGGAGAATTTCTCTGAAGACAGTCACATCATACTGAGGCCATCTTTGTCAAAGAGTAGGTTTTTGCAAATGCAGAACTATCTACAAATTTTTTGTTTGTTTGTTTGTTTTTATGAAGGCTTAACATGTAAAAGGACTGTAAGCCATCTAGGCTGCCTGATTTTCCAGAGCCAGTGTTCCTAAGAACTGAATTCTCACAGATAATTCATTCTCTCCTCTCTCCCCTCTCTCCCTCTCTCCATCCCTCTGTTCCCCAAAAAGCCACATGGAAATCTACAACTGTAGAAGTTTTAAAAACACATGTGTATCCCAGTGTAGTGGCACACCTCTTTAATTAGGACTCCAGACATAGCAGCAGGTGGATCTCTGTGAGTTCAAGGTCAGCCTGGTTTATGTAGTGAGTTCCAGGACAGCCAGGGACATGTAGAGAGATCCTGTCTTATTAAAAAAAAAAATGTATCTGTGTAGATACATAAAAAGACTTATCCGTTATTGGCAACAATACACCTACTAGAGGCTAACATAATAACTTCAGTGCCAGGAATGTTTTTCTTCTTTTGAAGTTGGAGGTTCCAGAGACAAACACACCTCCCCCCACCCCAGACATTACCAGTTATTGTCATGCTCCTAGATAACTTCTAGGACTTGAGTGATTCCCTATTGCTCAAGACACTACATATTTGAGTCATAGAACATGAAGAAATCAGCTAGTACTGACCTGGAAACTTTATCCCAGCTGGCTAGCTTTCATCAAAGTGTTGAGGCTGCTTTAAGTGCTATTGGACAAGAAAAGGACGGCTGGACTGGCGAGTGGCTTGGGGAGAACCATCTTTAACGGTCACTTTCGCTGCATAGCTGGGGTGGGTCAAAGCAGCAGCCTGTGGCCTGACTTCAGCATCCCACGGTCTTCTGAACACGTTGTACTTTTGTTTTTATTGCTGTTTGCTTGTTAGTTGCCTGCCCCTGAGCTAAGATATTAGGCAGTTAAAATATCTTTCTTAGTTGAAACTCAATGTTTGTCTTAAAGGTCACTACTCTGCCTTCCCATGTTGCAAATCTGTGACTCATTTTTCCCGGTAAAGGCTCCTTGAACCTTTCTTCCAGAACGTTTTCTTGTATATGCATTTTTCACATTTCAGTTTAAAAGGTACTCCTAGCTAGTAGGGTGGCTCATTGGTCTGAGCTCTCCACGGTCGGTCCATTTTGGCATCCTCTTCTTAGTATTGCCATTTTACTTTAGCTTTGAATTACTTTTGCTTTAAGTTGATTTATGAACTGTCTAGTAGTTCTTGATTGGCAAATAATTTAAAAACAGAGCTGTTTACCATGTAGGTTGAGGGCATAATCTTGTTCAAGAAGTTTAATATTCAAAGTGGGGTTTACTCATTAATCTGCTTTGTCTGTTGTTTGGGGGATGATTTTAATTAGCTATAGAGATAAGTAACTTAAAAGTTGTATCTCATGCAGGCTCCGTAAACTCATGGATTCTTTTAGGTAGCATTTCCTTGTCCTTAGCAAACTTGGACTATTTTCTGTGTCCTACTGTTTGATATGATATTTTGTTCTGACTTTGTTTTACATGACATCCTAAGGAGAGAGAAAAATAGAATTACTAAAACTCTATTTGACAATAACTGTTAGAACTAGAATAGGCTCTGGGATAGGTGGTACAACCTTTGAGTAGAGAGTAGGACTATCCTTTGCAAGTTGTTTATGGGGGGTTTGTTGGCTTGTGTTTGAGGTCTTTGAGGGAAGTGCATTTGCTTTTAGTTTTGAACTAAGGTCTCAGTTTATAGGCCAGTCTTGGAATTCACTGGTTGTAGCACAGGTTGACCAGGAACTCAGAGGGTCTTCTTGCCTTAGCCTCTCAAGTGCTGAGATTAGAGATATGAGACAACATTCCTGCTGTCTCGAATACATGTCCTGTGATGGTACACGCAGTACTTGTACTCTATTCTTGAAAGTTAGAGCTCAAAACAGTGGCCAAACTGAAAGCAATCCAGAGCAAAGGTGAAGGAGTGTTCATTAACCGGCAGGCAAACATGTCAGCCATTTTGTTGCTTTCTTCTTCTAAACGTTAACACATTGTGTAGTTTTTTTTTAATCTCTGTTAACAATGGGTGGGTAGAGCGGTTTGGGAATCAGTGAGTGCATTCAGTAGCTGACTGAGGAGTGTTCTAGGGTCTAACATAGGTATGTTTCTTTTTTAGGAGACTGAAAAATGGCCTTTGAGCTATGCTAGGTCTATAATGGGAAGCGCCACAGTTCGATATTTCTGTTATGGGTGCCTATTTACATCTGCTACCTGGACAGTTCTGCTTTTCATTTATTTTAACTTCAGTGAAGTGACTCAGCCTTTTAGGAATGTGCCCATCAAGGGGTCTGGGCCCCACGGGCCATTTCCCCGAAAATTCTACCCACGTTTCACACGAGGTCCAGGTGGAGTATTAGATCCACAGTTCAAAGCAAACAGAATTGATGATTTGATGAATAATCACATTGAAGACCCGGATAAAGGCCTCTCAAAATCTTCCTCTGAACTGGGTAAGTAATCAGGTCTGTACTCAAGCGTCCCATTGTTCCCGTAAGTAACAGAGTTGTATTTAAATCTGTATTGGAGCTGCTGACAGGGAAGATTATTGAAGTCTGAACCCAAAGATCATAGGTGCCCCCTCCCACCCCAGTTTTTAGAGATGGGATTTCTCTGTGCAGCCCTGGCGGTCCTGGAACTTACTCTTTAGACTAGACTGGTCTCAAACTCAGAGATCCTGCTTGCTTCTGCCTCCCTAGTGCTGGAATTAAAGGCACGGGTCACCACCGCCTGGCATAGGAGCCCTTCTTATATAAAAGCTTATGTGTAAATTTTTGTGGAGCATGGGTATAAAAGCTTGGTAAGATGGGGGCCCACTGTGGTCAGTTGGGATGTAATAACCTGTTGCTTTTATGGAACATCATTAGTATTTTTTCTCTGGTCACAGATCAATTTGTCTTGTGAGTGTAATAAGATGTGTTTTTTGTTAGTTCGTTTATTTGGATTTTTTGTTTTGTTTTGTTTTGAGAGAGGGTCTGTATATACCTAGTGGGCCTGGAACTCACTATGTAGTCCAAGACAGTAATCTGCCTGCCTCTGTCTCCTGAGTGCTGGGGTTAAAGGTATGTGTGCCAACACATAATAAAATGTTCTTAACATAAAGGTTTTGAGCATGGTTCAGGCACACTTGGTTTGCATTAAATTGGTAAGAATCTGATGTCAGCCTCAGCTTCTCATTTGAAACCTGAACCTACAGTTAATCTGTGGTGGTATAATCTGGTTATAATGATGAGGCCAAGGCTCTGGGGAGACATCCCATCACCGAGGCGGGTGTGATCTTCTTTTTTTCAGAGCGTACAACTTCACTCTCTTTCAGGTATGATTTTCAATGAACGTGATCAGGAATTGAGAGACCTGGGCTACCAGAAACACGCCTTTAATATGCTTATCAGTAACCGCTTGGGATACCACCGAGACGTGCCGGACACCAGGAATGCAGAGTATGCTCCTTGTTTGTTTCTTTTTTAATTTTTTTCTTTTTTGTTTTTGGAGACAATGTTTCTCTCTGTAGCCTTGGTTTTCCTAGAGTTCACTAGTAGGTTAAGATTATTATTTTTCTGCATATGTTAATACGGGAAATTAATATGGCAACAGTTACTTCTAACCAGCTTTTCCCCAAATAACCACACAGGGACCTTTTAATATTTCAAAGCCTTGGGCCTTAGCTGGGCGGATACTCAGCTAGCTCATCTCAGTTAACCTGACTGCCCAGCTCCATCCAGCCACATGGCCATTCCTTCCAGGCCTGTGCTTATGCCCATCTCCTCCCGTGTCTCTGGCAAAAGGCCTTTCTTATTCCCAGAGTTCCTCTCTCTCTCTTAGGAAGTCCAGCTAATTGGCCATCAGATTTATTATTGGCTTTTTATTAAAGCCAATCAAAGAATGTTTTGGTTAGGTTAGGAAGGACAGAGACAGTGTCCAACACTTGCTCTGTAGACCAGGGTGGCCTAGAATTCAGAGATCCACCTGCCTCTGTCTCCTGAGTGCTGGGATTAAAGATGTGCACCTCCACTGACAGGCTGGAGTTTAGTCTTTAAGTTGATAACTTGTTGCTCAGAGCCACTTATCAAGTAGTTTATTATGTCCATGAAAGCTCTTCTGTCATCTAAGAATTCAGTTTATTTAAATTTTTTTTATATTATTGGGTTAAAAACTATTTCGTCAAAGATAGTTTTCTTATTGAATTTCCATTTAAAACCTCATTGAGAAGCTGGGCTAACCTTTAGCGCTCCACATGCAGTAACCGTCAACTCATTAACTTCTCTGCCAAAAGGAAGAAACCAGGTTTAAAGGTGAAATTATTAATACGATGTAAAGCAAAGAATAAACAACAGTGTTTTCATAAACACTTAAACATCATTATAATGTAAGAGAGAAGCTGAACAAGGTGACAAGAAATAACCCAAGACATTTGAGCCTCTTAAAATACTAGATTTTCTTGTTTTGGTTGTTAAAGGTGTAGAGGGAAGTCCTACCCGACTGACCTGCCAACTGCTAGCATTGTTATCTGTTTCTACAATGAAGCCTTTTCTGCCTTGTTGCGGACTGTGCACAGTGTCGTGGACCGCACACCGGCACACCTTCTTCATGAGATCATCCTTGTGGATGACAGCAGTGACTTTGGTAAGTGATGCCATGAATGGTCGCAATTCATGGGCTCTTAATCACTGTGGGATGAAGCCTCAGCTGGGCTTACAGCCTATGCATTGACCATAGGATGATTTTGCTGAAGTTCTTTGTAATCTTTCTCCTCTGTTATCCAAATATGCCCTGGAGGAATTTCCCTTTGGCTTCCTTTAAAGAATGTCCGTGATGAATGGAGCTGCAGTTCACAGGAGCTTAAGGAGACTTCCCCTTGCCCCTCCCTCAGCCGTTCCCCATGTTGGTTGTCTTTCCTACTTACAGTACAGTGTAGAAAGCAGAATTCCACAATGGAGAAGTGTCAGTTTATCTTGTGTGAAGATTGCTGTCAGCACCAGCACAGTCTTGAGAGGCATACTGCTTCGTCCAGCAGCCCCTGGTGTTCCCTTTAGAGAAATACTCTGCCTTTGTGTCCCTGGAATCCTTCCCTGGCATTTGGTAACCTCTGATTTTTGTCATTTCAAAAGTGTGATGCAAATGGATATGCAGTATGTCCCTTTTTGAGGTTGGCACTTTCACAGGGTATAGTGCCGGGGACCATGCTTATAGAGTAAGTCTGCTACTCCAGTTGTTTCCAGAATAGAGTGAGCTGCATTCAGAAAGCTATTAGATGTTATCTAAATGCCAATTTTCTGAGAATCATTATATATTTTAGGCACCTTTTTTAACTGTAGATTTTTGCAAAGAAAAGTTTTATACTGTTTTACTCCTGTTCAGCTCTCAGCTTCCTTCAGAGTGGGTGGGATCTGGTTTTACAAAGATGGAGATACAAAAAATAAGTGACCTAGCTGGGTGTAGTGGTACACACCTTTAATTCCAGCACTCTGGAGGCAGAGCAGGCAGATCTCTCAGTTCAGGGCCAGCCTAGTCTACTAAGTAAGTTCCAGGACAGCAAGAGATATGCAGAGAAACCCTGTCTCAAAACCAAACAAAACAAAAGAGAAGAGAAGAAAAGGAAAGAAAGAATGAAAGAGACTTTTCCTAGAACCTAGTTTGAGTAGTAGAGTTGAGATTCTGTCTAGTCTTCCTGGCTTCCAGCCTTCACTGCAGACCCAGTGTAGCACCAGCAGAGCTGTGTACCAGCACACTTACGGACTGACAGATGAACACAGCACCCATGAGAGCTAAGTACTTACCATTTTTGTTTGTTTTGTTTTTTGAGGGAGGGTCGCTCTCTACATAGTCCTGGCTGTCCTAGAGTTTACTACACAGACTAGGCTGGCCTTGAACTTACAGAGACCTGTTGCCTCTGGAACTCTCGTGCAAGGGTTAAAGGTGTGCACCAGCATACTCAGCTTGGACTTCCTGTTTAAAGACGAGCATCTCTTTTGTAGTCTAGGTTGGCCTCAAGTGGCTTTCAAACCACTTGAACTTACAGCAGTCCTCCTGTCTCAGCCTTGAGTGGTGGGATCGCAGGGAAGAACCTTCACATTGGACTTCATTTGAGACAGTGTCCATGGAAACATGCGTTGAAGGCAGCAATTCTTGTGGCTGGATTCCAGTTTTCCTCTGGGTTTTCCTTCTACAGAGGGCTCTAGAATACTTTATAATGAGGCAGTCTAACACATTTCTTTGATCGCTTGTAGATTTTGGCACACATGGCAAATACGTTAGAAATAGTTATAAGATGCTTGCTCTGTGTCTTGTATGGTGTGAGTAATTATGGAACTGTTGTTTTTTTTTTTTTTTAGATGATTTAAAAGGAGAACTAGATGAGTACATCCAAAGACACCTGCCTGCAAAAGTCAAGGTCTTAAGAAACACGAAGCGTGAGGGCTTGATCCGAGGAAGAATGATCGGAGCAGCCCATGCCACAGGTATGTATATCCACGCTCCACGCCGTGGCTCCGTGGTGCTGGACACCTACAGAAGTCCACAAAAAGCCACACGTCTTCGTTACTCTTCTGTTGCTGTGAAGAGACACCATAGTTCAAGGCAACTTTCAAAAGAAAGGCTTTAATTTAGGGCTTAAGGCTTTGGAGGGTTAGTCCATGCATGGCAGCAAGCAGACAGACATGGTAATGCAGCAGTAGCTGAAAGCTTACATCTGATCCTCAGGAACGAGGCAAAGACACAGCTAATTAGGCCTTCAATGGGCTTTTGAAACCCCGAAGCACACTTTCAGTAACGTACCTCCTCTGACAATGTCACACCCCCCAATCCTTCCTAAACAGTTCCACCCATTGGTGCAAACATGAGCCAGTGGGGACCATTCTTACTCATACCCCCATGCCAAGTTTTCATTGGCTATTGCCCAAAGGAATGAAGAAGCTTGTTCTGTTTGAAAAGATTTTATAACTCTGATTTGCTGCCCCAAAGCATAGAGTACAGAGATTGCTGCTAGAGCCCTTGCTGGCCTATTTCTGTAGCAGCTTCTCAGTTAATTATTGGCATCTCAAACAAGTTTCTTACCTTGCTTGCTTACATAAGTAGAAAAGTCCAAGCCAACATGTAACTGAACTTCTAAAAGTTTAATATAGAAATGCTTAACATCCAATGCAAACTACTTGATTTGAATTATGCTAATAGTTGTTAGTGTGGAGTGCACATCTCTGGAGTCAGCATCAGGGTTCTAGTTGGTAAATAAGATTGATTTCTACACTGTTACTGGGAGGTTTTCAAACCTCCATCCTCCACCATATGCTAATCTCCCCCTGAAAAACACAGAGCAGGTGCCGGATGCAGTGGCCGCCTTTGGCTCCGTTTTGTTTCTTTGACTTGGTCCCAGGCTGGCTTCATTCTTGCTGTGTAGCTGAGGATGACCTTGACTTCTGGGCCCCTGCTTCTACCAGTGCTGGGATTGCAGGCATGCACCACGACACCTGGCTGTATTTCTACCCCCACCCCAGCCCAGTTGAGTACTGGGCACTGCCAGTCCACTGTAGCATGGCCTGTTGTACTTGCTGGGCTTAGTTGGGACTTCGCTTTGGGAATTTTGTCTTTTTCTCTAAAAACTTGCCATGACCTGAAGTCGTGGAGATTGAGGAGAGCAGCCCTTCTGCATCCAGTCAGAGCCAGTGCTTGAGGTCTGCGTCTCCAGGGCTTTAGCCAAAGACTAAGGAGGTTGGCCTTGCTGGGTCTTTGGAGATGGTGAACTAGAGACAGCCGAAGAGCCTTGAGGGTTGTGCCGTTTGAACCGTTGTGCTGTTGCACTGCTTACTCACTGTTCCTTTATGATCTGGTTGTCTCCATTCAGCTATGGCGTAGGATTTGTCAGGTTCAAGCCAGTGTGAGGTCACTATGGCCTGTTTGGTGTGGCCAGAGGGAATCTCACTGCAGTTGGTTAATTAACTTGTCCTCATGGAAAAAGCAGTCCTTCCAGCGTGAGCATGGCTGGTGCTAAGGAGTACATCTTCTGTATTAGATAGCAGCTGAATGTTAGTTATATGTCCACATTTAACTAGACAAACAGGGAACTGTGTGACTAACTTGCTGTCATCAATGAAAGACAAAAGGATGAATTTTGTCATTTATATCTTGCTAATTGGAAGGTTGAATGGAGTCCTTCGAGCCCTATGGGAAATGGTAAGTAAGCTGGAGGTAGCACAGTGGAGAAGCCAAGGGAAGGTGATGTGTATGGACAGTATCCCACTGTGGTTGGCACAGCAGTCCGGATTCCACCCGGTGGGCCAGACTCCTCTTTCCAGAAACCATAGTCTAGTGGTTACCAGTTCTCAGTGACGCTGAGCCATCGGTAACAATAATGGTCTCCGATGTGTACTAAATAGATACTTTGAGTAAAATGACTAATAAAAGTGGACTCTGCACAGCTGGCCACTGTCCTTGCACACAACACTTTAGGTCTGGCTGTCAGTGGGAGAGGAGGAGTCTCCTGAGTTGCCTGACAAGCAGCTTGTTGGGGCTGTGCATGTAGTTTGTACCCTCTGTGAGAAAAGTACATTTTGGAAAAAAACTTTTAGCCAGAGGACTTCTCTGAACCCATTTGGCAGTGCAGAGGTGGTTTCTTGGTCGGGGTGGTCATGGTGGCTATCCATAGCCTGTATATAACAACATCTCCACCCAGGCTGGTCAGCTGTACTTTGGTCAAGTGTGAAGCGTCTTCTCCCTTCACCTCTGCAGGAGAAGTCCTGGTGTTCCTGGACAGCCACTGTGAGGTGAATGTGATGTGGTTACAGCCCCTGCTGGCCATCATCCATGAGGACCCACACACGGTGGTGTGCCCTGTGATTGACATCATCAGTGCGGACACACTTGCTTACAGCTCATCCCCAGTGGTTCGGGGAGGCTTCAACTGGGGGCTGCACTTCAAGTGGGATCTAGTCCCTGTATCTGAGCTGGGAGGAGCTGATGGCGCCACGGCCCCAATAAGGTAAGAGAGGTTGGAAGAGTCCCACTAGCCTTTCTTTAGAAAAGAACAGTATGTTAAAGAAAACTGCTTCTTTGTAAGTGGCAAAGGTGTTGACTGAACTTACCCAGCTAAAACATTTTTTAAGCAGGGCAGTGGTGACACACACCTTTAATCCCAGCACTTGGGAGGCAGAGACAGTCAAGTCTCTGAGTTTGAGGCCAGCCTTGTGTATACAGCATTAAAAAAGAGGCCCTGTCTCAAAACCACAACAGATTTTGGGTCTGTTTTGTTTGTTTGTTTGATTGATACAGGGTTTCTGTGAGTAACAGCTCTGACTGTCCTGGAACTCACTCTGTAGACCAGGCTGGCCTCAGACTCAGAGACCATCTGCCTCTGCCTCCCAAGTGCTGGGATTAAAGGTGTGCATCACCACACCTGGCCCAGTGAGAATTCTTAAGTGGTAAAGTTCTGTATAAACCCAGCCAAGAGTTAAGAATAAGAAACTGTCAATTGCCCCTAAGTGCTGTGTAGCTTGTAAGAGACGTGAATAGGTAACTGTTTCCAGAGTAGTGTGGGCTCCCCTGTGTGCTGTGGTCTGTATCAGACTCATGTCCAGTTCATCACCACAGGCTGCACATATCTTTGTCTGAGACCAGAGGTGTATTAGATTCCAAATTTTTTGTTGCATTTTATAATATTTACATATTTTCGATTTGATATTTCAGGATGAGACCAAGGCTAACTGCAGTAAACTTGTGTTTCCATACACTTTCTCAACAAGAGGTCACATCAGTGTTTACTGTTTTTTTGATTTTTTTTTCCTACAATATATTTTGGTCATATTCTTTCTCTTCACCGACTCCTCCCAGATATCTCCTCCTTACCCACCCAGCTTCATATTCTTTCATAAAAAATAAACACAAAACAAAGCACACATGAAAATACACAAACATAACCAAAGAGTCTGTTCTGTGTTGGCCAACTATTCCAGTGTGCACGGGGCCTGCTTTGGGTGTAGTTGATACACCAAGTGTCACTCCATTGAAGAAAACGGTTTTCCCTTCCCTGGGAATTATCAATTACAAATACTATCATATTTTTGATTCCTTTGAAAATATTCCAGACATTTATAAATAGGTTTTGTTGTTTTAAAGATAGATGGGGCTCATGTCATGGAACTGCCATACTTGGTTTAAGCAATCAGTATTGGGGATTGAAGCTAGAGATTGCTGCCTGCTAGACAGCCCCCCTTACCAGCTGAGTCCCACCCCTAGTCCATGTGTAAATGTTTTTAGAGTATCTACTTTCCTCCCAAGGTTTCAATCCTGTCTTTTGTCTTGAGTGTATTGAATAGTTATTTTGAAGTCTGTTTGATAACTTCATAATCAAAACTTCTTTACATTTCTACATTATTGTGGACTGTTTCTCTTTTCTGTGACTTATCTCCCTAATAGCCTGGTTATTTATCTATTCTTTTGCTAGACATTCTAGAGTCCTTATTCTGCCGCTGTTCTGTAGGCAGTTCAGCCAGTAGAGCCCACCGTGATTCCTTAACTCTAGGTCAAGGGGTCAGAAGCCTGGGAGTTGGGATGAAGCCTTTTCTTACTGCAAGAAAGCTGCAGTCTAAGCTCTAATGGCATGGTCCTTTGTTGGCAAGCTGCTGTGGGGGATGGAGGAACCCTCATGAGTTAGCAAAAATGTTAGCAGCGACCCCTCCACCCTGCCCACGTGCCAAGCACCATGACTGTAAATAAGCATCGTTCTGAAAATGCTCTACTATTACAGATGTCACTGCTGGCACAGCCGTCCACTTTGAGAGCCACTGCTGATGTCTGCCTTGAGACTGTGGTAGGTCCTGGAGTCAGGTTTAGTTCCTCTCTACCAGGCCGTCAAAAGGGATTGCAGCCGTTGGCTTTGGGTTCCTATCAAAGTCAACTATAATCAGAAAAGTACCTTAGAACATAACCTTATGCCAGAAACCTAATATAGCCTCAGCAATCCAGAAGATTCCAGTTTGTGATCTAGCTTGTTCCCTATTAGACGGCCACGTTTCTTCCTTATCTGTCATCCTTTATTGTTACCTCTTCTTTAATGACAGCTAATCTTCTGTGCCCTAGTCACAGGGACTTTGTAAACAGTAGGTAACTGGTCCTGTTGAGTGAGCACAGGCTGTGATCCTTTTCTAGGTCACCCACAATGGCTGGAGGCTTGTTTGCCATGAACAGACAGTATTTCAATGATCTTGGACAGTACGACAGCGGCATGGATATCTGGGGAGGAGAAAATCTGGAAATCTCATTTCGGGTAATTTTAATTTTGTGTGTGTTCTGTTACTAAATTGTCTGTAATAGAATATAATTACCATTTAAGGGTAGAGAGACCCTCCTGAGCAGGTAGGCCCCACCAACCACTCTGAATTTGTCTGCAGCATCCCTGTCAGCCTATAGCATAGAATTAAGCATGTCTGTTTATAATTTAGAAACATACCACCACATTGCTTTAAAGGGCAGTTTTTCTCCATAATTTTTCAGGTTGAAAGTTTATATAGAGATTAGTAGTTCAGTTTTCTTTTGTTCTTTTCTTTTTAACAAAAGTAAGTGAATCCCACAAATGTTAAGTGTATATGCACAGGACACGACACGGCATGACACGCATATGGAGATCAGAGGACAATTTGCAGGAAACGGTTCTCTGCTAGTGCCTTGTAGGTCTTGGGGATTGAGTCCAGGCTGTAAGAGTTTTTTTGCCAGTGCCATCCTGTCAGCCCTGGAACCAAGTTCTTGTGTGTGCTCTCGTGCTCAGGTGGAGGCACAGTTCACAGGAGCCGTCCTCTCCTGCCGTGTGGGCGTGGGTTGAACTTGAGTCAACAGGCTTGGTGGAAAGCAGTTTTACTGAGCCATCTTGCCAGCCCTAGAATCAAGCTCTTTTGAATTTGAATCATTCTGTATAATTTATTTAAAAAAGTACTTTTGGAACCTGGGAGATGGCTCAGTGGTCATAGCACTTGCCATGCAAGCAAGGGTAAAGGAGTCTGGATCCCAAAGCCAGTGTAAATGCCGGTCGGTCAGCATGAGTCCTCCTGTGATGTAGCCTTGGATCCCTAGAGCTACTTGGATCCCTAGTGACACTAGCCATACAGGTGAGCTCTGGGTGTGACTGCGACCCTGCCTCAAGAGTATGAGGCAGAAGAGTGACAGGGGAACACCCGCTCCGCCCCAAGATATGATTTCTATTTAGTTTACGTATATGGGTGTTTTGTCTGCGTGTATCTCTGCACCCCAGAAGAGGGCATCAGATCCCATTAAAGGTTGTGAGCCGCTGGTGTGGTTGCTGGAAACTGAACTCAGGGCCTCTGAAGCCAGTGCTTTAGCCGCCGAGCTACCTCTCCATCCCAAGATTCCCAGTAGTAACCTCAGGCCTCAGTGTTCAGTCTCATGTATGTGCCTGTGCATTTGTATATTCATATGTGCCCACACACATGCACACATGTATGCATATGCAGGGACAACACATAAATACATAAGAAAAACAAATTTTCTTAGAAACAGAGTGTAAGTTATAAGAAAGTACATGGAAACAGAAGACCGGCTAAGAAGTGTTCCTTGTCCTTAAGTCCTTAAGAGCAAGCCATTAAGGCAACCACAGATGATAACACAATTGGTGGGATTTTTAATTTCAGAAGGACCTAATTTTTGAACACCCTCACGTTCTTCTGAGTATGTCTAGTAAGACGCATCTGTAGGCTGCATAGCCACCATTCATAAAGGGTCACTCAGGAAGATGTGTGCTGCTTCAGTCTGACGGCCATCCTGTTTGCTTCCGGCTAGATCTGGATGTGTGGTGGCAAGCTCTTCATCATCCCTTGTTCAAGAGTAGGACACATTTTCCGTAAAAGGCGACCGTATGGCTCTCCTGAAGGCCAGGACACCATGACACATAACTCCTTGAGACTGGCACATGTCTGGCTGGATGAGTACAAGGTGAGTGTGTCTGGCCATTGCTTTGGTGGTGCCTTCCTGCCTCTCTTGCCTGCGTCTCCTTGGATGACCTGCAATGCTGTGTTGTTCCTCTCTGGGCTTCTCACCAGGGTACACTCAGTTCTGGTTCCCACTCTTCCCTCAGTGTGACATTACAGCATCAGAAGCAGCTCTGTCTGTGCTGATCTCACTGGTCACTCAGCACTGCTTCCCCGTGTCTACACTGCCTTCCACAGCTTTGTTTTCTCTGCAGCCTCTTTATCATGTGTGATTGCCACATCAGGAAGAAACACTGTACCCTTTAGGTGTCTCCTCTGTCTACAAGTGCTAGACAGTGGCTTACCTGTCTCCTGGCCCCACAGTCTTTACTAGAGCTATCACACATTTGTACCCTTCCGCGGCTTTCACTGCGCATTTGTTTTGAGAGTAGCCTGTGTTGCAGCTGTTCTTGGCACTTCACTACGTCCTAGTGCTTAGGGACACTCTGTCCATCATTTGATGGGTATTTGGGTTGTTTACATGTTCATTCATTTATATTTCCCTCCCTCCCTCCCTCTCTCTCTCTCTCTCTCTCTCTCTCTCTCTCTCTCTCTCTCTCTCTCTGTCTCTGTCTCTCTCTGTTTTTTCAAGATAGGAAGATAGAGTTTCTCTGTGGAGCCTTGGTTGTCCTGAAACTTACTCTGTAGACCAGGCTAGCCTCAAGCTCACAGAGATTCGCATGCCTCTGTGTCTTTAGTGCTGGGATTTGCATGTTAATGTTATGAAAAGGCTGCTGTGATTATTTGTGTGCAGTTGCTGCTGTCATTGGTCTCAAACTCCATACATGCACAATGTACCTGGCTAAGTCCCTGAGCTCTGGCTTGGAAACAGAGCTGACTAAGGGAATGTAACCTGCAGCCCTATAAGGTAATGTAAGTGGCAGCGTATGCCCAGGCCTTGAAGTGCCGAGGAGGGAGCTGGGAACAGAGGCAGGGCTCCAGGCATGCGAAGGCTGTTTGCCTCCTCCCTCTCCTAACCTAGAGCTCTGTGGAACTCAGCTCCTTGTGTATTGGTGTCATTCCCTTGTCATGGAAGTTGCCAAAATGGAGAGTAGAAGGCTTTTGTTACGTGGTCTTGAGCATGGGGACCTTGAGAGCTCTGTCTCTGGGTCCATGATCGATGTCCGGGGCTCAGCCACATTCCCAGTGTCAGGTCATCGATGGCTTCTTTTCCACTGACACGGATTTTCCCAGGCAGTCATGTGAAGGCTGCTTGCTGCGTGCAGTAGTGTGAGTAGACTGCTCAGCTGTGCTGTTCTCCAGGAGCTCTTGCTTGTGACACTCAGCAATCTCTTTTCAAATCGACCCAAGGCTTGTAAATGATAAAATTCAACTCTCTAGTAATAAAGATTGGGAAAAAAAAAAGTCATCAGAACTTGGTAGCCCACACCTCTAATCCCAGCAGAGACAGATGATGTTAAGGTCACCTTGTCTACATAGTGAATTTTAGGTCAGCCAGGGATACACAGGGAAGGCTGAGGCAGGACTATCAGTTAGAAGCCAGTCTGAGCTGCATGTTTGTACTGTCTCAAAAAAACTACGAATAACTGTTACTGTATTAAATATTTAATACAAGAATAACTACAATTACTTGTAATAGGAATTTAAAAATATCCCTTGGTTTCAGCCACCTTCTTCATGAGATTGTATTTTTAAACAGTGGACAAAATGCTCGCTGTGCAAGTCCTGAGTTCTACCTAACTGTAGAGAGAGCCAGCCCCATAGAATTGTACTGACTGCCACATACGTACCAAGGTGTGTAGCCCTCACCATCATAATGAAGTTTTCTGATTAAAACAACACACAGCAACAGGGTAAATACACATATGAACCACCTAATAAAAACTACACGCTTCTGTATTGAGAATCAGTTTCTGTTAAGTAAGAAATTAAAACTATGTTGAGGTCTTTTTGTTGTTTGTTTTTGTTAGTGGTGATGTCTTTGAGAGTCTAGACTGGCCTGCAGCTCCCTAAGGAAACCAGGCTGGTTTTCAGGTCACAGGGATCTATCTGCCTACCTCTGCCTTTCTAGTGCTGAGATTAAAGGTGTGTGTAGCCATGCCTGGCTCAGTTTTAATTTTAACAAGGTCAGTATCCGTAACTAAGAATCCTGGACCAGCTCATGTTGAGAATAGATTAGAAGCTAGAGTTGACAGTCACTCATCTGATACATAGTCTGCTGACTTAAGAGTTTTTTTCCAATTTGTCTTATTGAGTTTATGTTATGGTTAGTGACATTCCTGTCACTAACCATACAGTTTTTGACATTAAGAAAACCCAGGACTCTGTTTTCCTCACAGAATATGTATTTCCAGCAAATTTCATTCTTTTTTAAACTTAGGAGCAGTATTTTTCCTTAAGACCTGATTTGAAGACCAAAAGCTTTGGGAATATCAGTGAGCGTGTTGAATTGAGGAAGAAATTGGGCTGTCAATCATTCAAATGGTATTTGGATAATATTTACCCCGAGATGCAGATACCTGGCCCGAATGCCAAACCTCAGCAGCCTGTTTTCATCAACAGAGGACCCAAGCGCCCCAGAGTCCTGCTTCGTGGAAGGGTGAGGTGCCAGTCCTGGGGGTTTCACGGGGAGGGCAGAGCAGGAAGGTGTTTTTGGGGGCCTGTGATAATAGAAATTAAACTGTTCTCTTCGGGGGACTTCTCTCTACTCAAGTAGAAAAGCTTAGAAATCTTAAATGTGTTTGCTGCCTTGGAGGGACTGGGACCTTTGTAGGTTATGTTATGTTCCAAGAGCAGAGACACACAGGGACATAGGCAGTGTGAAAGGACTCCTCACGGGATGAGCAGGAATGCAGCAGCTGCTCCAGTTCAGACTCAGCTCTTGGAACCAACTTCAGACAGATTGAAGGTGACAGTTAATCGGTGTAACATGCAGTAAGATTTCATATCAACACACTGCACTCCTGAGGTTAGCAGAAGGCACACTGGACCTTTTTCAGTCACACTTAAGGTTTAGGGGTCTGCCCTGAAGTTACATTGTTCCAAGTAATTTCTAAAACTAGCCTTCTGGAGGCTGGGGAGATGGCTCAGTTGATAAAGCACTTTGCAGCCCATTGTGGGGATCGGAGTCTTGCATCCTTAGAATCCATGTGGACACTCGGTAGGTGTGGTGGCCCACTTACAATTCCAGTGCTTGGAAGGCAGAGACAGGATCCTTGGAACAAACCCAGCTGATGAGCTCTGGGTCTGGGAAACCCTGCACCTCAGTGGGAAATCTGGCACGAGCATGCATACACAAAGGTGTGCCCACCCACACCTGTGCAGACACCACACACACACAGCCGAAAACTGCTGTTCTTATCTCCCTCTAACTTTTGTATTTCAGGAGAATTGAGCCTAGTACTTTTCTCCTCGTTTATAAAGCCCCAGACAACTATCTAGGTGTTCACTGGTTGTTCTTAAGTAAAGACAGATACCTTGTGCCCATATAGTTGATAACCCTTCCAGCATAATCTTTCTAGATCAGCATATGCATAGGGTTTTGTTCTTTAGCCCAGGCTGTCCACATATTTATGATCTCCTGCCTCAGCTCCATGACTGCTTGAATGACAGGCCCAAGTCACCTTTATTTCATCTTCCTCTTAGCTTGTGGGTGCATTCCTGGAACCGTGGACAGCGCTTCCCACTCTATGCACATCCCCCAAGCACCGAGGTGTCTGCATGAGAGTCACTACTGTCTTCTTTTGCAGCTCTACCACTTGCAGACCAACAAATGCCTGGTGGCCCAGGGCCGCTCCAGCCAGAAAGGAGGCCTGGTGCTGCTTAAGGCCTGTGACTACGGAGACCCAACTCAGGTGGGTTACACCTCCTAGTGCATAGTCACCCTGGGGAAGGGAGCACTTTGCTGGAGTTTTAGGTTGCAAATGAACTTTAGAGATCATTGGCAATGACTGCGTTGTCTTCTGTGTCTCTGCCCATGTTCACTGCTTGTCAGTTGTTTCGATTGCTGTGTTTTGAGTGTGGCATGGGGAGTGCGAGTCTTCTTCAAACCTTACTCCTCAGCAGATGAAGCAGAGTCAGCTTCCTGACCAGTTTTATGGCTCATTAGGAGACACCACAACAGAATTCTGGTTCATTTCATCCACTTAGTTTCAGTTAGTTTGTCTTTTCAATATTAAAGTGTAAGCAGATAATTTATTTTGGTTTGTTACTATTCAGGCTGACAGCATAACCTAACTGATTGAGACTGGAGGCTCTGTCGGGACTGGCCTGTGATGGCTGTTCCATTTTAGCGTTAGCATTGGTATCATATAGGAATAGAAAAAACACTTGGCCTTTTGAGAAATAGAATGTATACCTAGACATTTCTAAATATACTGCTTAAGAAAAGCTTACATGAGTGTACACACATGGAGGTCAGAGGACAAATCGTAGCAGTCAGTTCTTGGATCATGTCGGGACAGGATTGGAACTGAGGTCATCCGTCTTGGCAGCAGGCACCTTTCCCCACTGAGCCCTCTCACAGGCACAAGTTAAATGGTTTTAAATGGACTTTGTTGTGAGCATGCAGACTTACACTGATACTTTAAACAGTGCAGGTCCTTGGTTGTACTGGTTTCAAGTGGCCAGTGCAGGGCCAGAAGCACGATTGGGTTTTCTAGCACCTGCTGGAGAGTGCCTCACTGAAAAGTACTTACCCTGTTTGAGGCTGGAGCCTGAAACCAGGATCATTTGCACTCATAGCCATGGGAAACCTTGGTTCCAGGTGACCCAGGTGAAATCCATCATCTTAGACATTGCTACTCGACAGAAGAGTTGGGCTGGAACAGCTTCTGTACATCCTTTTTCAGCAGATGAGGACTGTGGTAAATAATCAGCTTTACATGTTCTCGCTCACCTCCTGGAGCTCTTTGGAGTTTTACAGGTCTGTGACTTAAGAGAATTACAATGATGTGATCACTTAGGTGAAGTTAACTCAGCGTGCACTGCCTGGGCTCCTTTGGGATAACCCTGTGTTAAGTTGGCTGAGAAGAGAAAGGATCGGCTTTGGTTTTTGGCCTCTGTTTTGGAGAGCTCTGATCGTGGTTGACGTCCACTCATGTGATGTCATGATTGAGGTCACAGCAAAGGCAGTGGTGGTGGGAGCAAATGGCAGGGGAAGCTGCTTTACTGGCCGTTCAAGAGTGGAAGGGAGAGGAGTGCAGACCCACAATCCCCTTCAAGGACACTCTGCAGTGACCCAGAGACACAAGAAGGCCTCCCTCACCTCCCAGTTGACTGTTGGAGATGGTTGGGGTGGTGCTGGGAGCAGTGTGTCTGCTTGTGGAGACCACATGGAACACATGAAAGCCTTATCCAGGCCTTCACTCCAGTACCTAAAGCAGCACTTGTTTTTTAAAGTATTTTTTTTGCTTCTTTACTAGGTCTGGATTTATAATGAAGAACATGAATTGATTTTAAACAACCTCCTTTGCCTTGACATGTCGGAAACTCGCTCATCAGATCCACCCCGACTCATGAAGTGCCATGGGTCCGGAGGATCCCAGCAGTGGACCTTTGGGGTGAGGAGCTTGCTTATGAACAAGGTTCCTTGTAGGGGGACAGGAACCTGGGCTTATCTAGTCCTGATGCTGCTGCGTCTTCCCTGCATGCTGCAAGAATGTTTGTTTTTAAATAAATAAGTCCTTTTTCTTGCCTTTTTTCAGAAAAACAATCGGCTGTACCAAGTGTCCGTTGGGCAGTGCCTGAGAGTTGTGGACCTGATGGATCAGAAGGGCTACGTTGGCATGGCGATCTGCGATGGCTCCTCCTCTCAGCAGTGGCGCCTAGAAGGTTAAAGGTGGGCCCCGGCTGGAGGCAACATAACTCACCTGGTTTTATCAGGGCTGCCATAAGTCAAGGTGCTTTATGAAGGATGTTGCTGACCACAAAAGGCAAGAACCTTGGTGGAGGGTGACCATCTCAGGAGCTTCACTGGAATTTGGGTTATTTCTGAGCTGCTGTTACGGGATTCATCCAGGGAAAACAGAAAATAATTCTAAAGAGTTGGGTCTACATAGTATAAGCCCAGGAAGTAGGCATTTCTATTGATATTTATGTTTCTCGTATTCTCCCTTGGAGATGGAATGGTTTCTGTCTAATCAGGAACTTGTCACAATTTCCTTTCATAGAGGACTTCATAAGAGATTTTTTTCTATTTCTATCATGTCTAATGTTCCAAATAGATTTTAAAAACTTGGTTGAGTGCATATTACTTTGAGCTTCAGAAGATACCATGTATATTTAAGAGGCATTTAACTATTATAAATTATTTTGATGACTTAATAGTCTGTCTACATTAAATAAAGGATCTTTTTGATCATTTAACTAGGATGTTTGCCTCTTCCATCTGTCTTGCTTTGGGGCCAGCCTGTGGTCTGAATGACTTGGGAATGTAACAGGAAAGACTGGAGGATGGCTGACAGCCTGTTAAGCTAGACAGCAGTTGCAAACTTCAGGAAGTGGCAATTCCTTAGCTTGACCTCAGTGAATTTGGATACATCATTTTACCTGTGAAACTCTCTTTTAAAACTACTAAGCAGAAGGATTTTAGAGAAAACTCTCCCTGTTGTAGACTTCAAAGGTCAGCTAGTACATCTGGGAAGCAAAGGGAGAAGTGGATTTAAACCCAGCAACAGCAGTGACCACACTGAGTGTCGTGTTACTGAATACAGGAGTGGGTTCCTTTAGAACATTAGATTGGATGGGAATGCAAGAGCAGGATATGGAGGAAACTAGAGAGAGCTGCCTGGAGAATGGAGACCAACGGGAAGAGAGCCACATGGAACTCTGTCCTGTCACCAAGCCTCTCAGCCGGAAAGAACAGCATCCAGGATCTGTCCATCAAAGGGCTTCATGAAACCCTCTGAAGAATGTGGGTCCACGTTTCTGGATCCCCTGAAAAGTGACAAGGTACACAGGTTCCTCACCAGATGACAGCATCGACTCCTGTGTGCGCAGTCCAGGCTTTTTTGCTGTAACACTTCCTGAGCACCAGTGGGACAGATGATTCACCAGCCGCCAACTTACAAAGGTATACATCTCAGCATGTTCATCTGTGCAGAATCCTGGCAACTAAATTATTTGTTGTACAAGGGGCCAACCATTACTTCTCACGATTTAAAGTTTAGTCTACATAACAGTGTTGGTAGGGAGGAGGGGGAGCTAGAAGTGGAAGGAAAAGTCCTCAGCCTAAGAAAGGACATTTATAGATAACCTCAATGTGGAAGTTTTGTACAAAAGGCAGAATTCCTGTGTTCTCTCTCAACTCAGGAGCCTTTTGCTTAGGACCCTAGCCAGGGCAGTCCAGCTAGAAGTCAGGCATGGACTTGAGAAATGAAGCAAGAAAAGTGCCTTCATCTGCAGAATGTGACAAACTATGGAGAAAAATAGGAAGTCTTCAAAAATACTTCCACAAACTGTCCCTGGTCACAGTGCTGAAATTCCATTATGTTTCAAATCCAACAAAACAGAAATGCACACCCAGCCAACCATTTGTCATTTTCAAGTGAAGTATTCAGTTCAGGCAGCATGGTGGTATTCACCTTGAATCCCAGCACTGGGAGGCGGGTGGGAGCAGAGGCCAGAAGATCTCGAGTTCACCGCCATCTTGTCTACATAGTAAGTTTTCAGGCTAGCTAGGACTGTAGAATGAGACAATATATAAAACCACAAACAGGTTACTCCAACCTCCCCCTCCACCACCAAACCAAAACAACCCCCCAACCAATATTTAATACACTACTTGAAATAACCAACACATTATTGTAAGATGGGCTTGTTCTTCCTGGGATTTCACCCAGCTGTGGCCTGATGTGGTACCTGCTCAGGGAATCACCTGCACACCAATGCCAGGCACCTTGCCTGCTGAGCCAGCTCCCTGATTCCAAGTCTGGAAGAACTGGTATCATCTGAACAAAACTGGACCTTAATTCCCTTCATCCTCCACTGAACTTGAACTCATTTCAAGACTGAACTCGATTAATCAAGACAGATCTGAACATAAAAGCTAAAATGAAAAAAAGGAAGAAAATGAAGAGGACTGTCATGACTTCAGAGTAGACAATGATTTGCCAAACATTGAAAAATAGTAACACAATGGGAGTTCATTAGAATTAAGTACCTGTGTAAGACAGAATGAGAAGGTGAAAAAGCTTAAGACCAGGATTCTGTGTGTATACAGTATTTGAAAGTTAACAGTTCAGTCCCCAGTTTTGTATATACAGTTCATCTTACGAAAAGGTGCGCAGATGAAGTGCAATCGAACCACTCAGATGCCACTCTACATACATTAACAAGAAACAGACCTGGTGTGAATTGGAGAGACTGTGACAAAGGAAGGCTACATAGTATGGCTTAGGCCTCCCCACCAATACTCACAGGAACCAAAGCACCCAGTAAATAAGCATGTGACAGGATAAGAGACAGTAGCACATCAAAGGAAAAACTTAACAGGAAGTTAACTTCACCGGAGGTGAGGCAGAAGCATATCACAGCTAAACCATTCAACTGTGTCTAGAACATCGAGGCAATTGGGCCCCCATAGCTTCCCTCAAGCACAGTCCCACTGACTAGGAGACCTTCCAGTGGCACCAAATCTTTTTTTTTTTTTTTAAACTACCTCCCAAGTAACACCAGAGTAGGCCCATGCCTCCTACACATGGGTCCAGGGAGCAGCTCTCTTCAGACACAGGGTATTGGGGACACTAAGAGACAAGGTGAGACCCTTATCATACAAAATTCAGCCCAGACCCTAGGGGCAGATGGGTAAGGTGGCTTTGAGGAAAATGAGTTGTGGATGTGGCCTCCATAGGGACACTGGGTGTGAGGTACACTGCTAGCCTCCTGTGCATCAATCTTAGAAGCAGTGTTTGGGAAATGGTCACCATATTGAGTGATTTGTTCAGAAGGAGAGCTAGGGAGAGGTGGTGGTGGTGGTGGTGAGTGCTGGATGGCTCAGGATTTTGTGACTGAAGCTGGGCATACCTCCCAAAAGACTGCTGGGAAAGGTTCCATTGAGGAAAAGGAAGCAGGATACTTATTATATTTTTGTGGCTAGCATTAAGCAGAGTTTGAAGAATTCTCTAGAAAATAGTTTTCAAAACTTAAAACTCTGTTATTCAGAAAAAAACTTTAAAAATCAACCCAAGAATGCTGCACAAGGAGATGCAGACATGTGTACAGGTCTGGTAAGACCTGCGTGCACACTACGGACAAGCTGAATCAAGACGGGACAGCAGACAGGGCTGGCAATAGACCAGAGAACAAGATGAAGTGCTCAGAGGCCGGGTTCCATCTCATAAGGGAAATCCCAAGGCACTTTTAGGAGTGAAAGGTGACACTTCACCATGGTGCAAGGCTCCCCAGACGATGGCAGGCTGGGGTGTCAGAAGGAAGCAAGCGATGCCAGTTTGCGCACTTGGTGAGGGAATCATTCCGCTTGGTACCTGTCTGGTATCCTTCGTTCATCCCAGGAAAGCAAGAGTTAGAGACACATTTAAAGGAACAGTGGACAACACTCACTTAGGATAAGGAACTTAAAAAGTGAACCAAAGTGAAACTAACCTGATTTTTCCAGTAGAGACCTTCATATTCAGTACAAGGTGCCAAGTGTGCAGCCAAACAATTACATGTAGCTGATGCAGTTGACCAGCCTGGGCCGGCATGGAGCTGTGGTCTTAGGGCTGGCTTCTCTTGTTTTCATGCTTGGGAGTCACTGTGAGGGCTCAAAGCTGGAACACAAGTGGCCATGGAGGACACCAGTGCTGCCTGGTGGACAGATGCTGGCACTGTAAGAGTCTTCTGGACACATCAGCTCCCACACTGTCACTGCCCCCGGGATAGTATTTAAGTGATTAGTCTGATGGGTGAGGCTTTCTTTCCCTTTCTGTGCTGGATAGGCAGTGCGGAGCCAGCGTTGAGGAAAGGTGTTTCCTTCCCTCAGCATCTGATGGTCAGTGTGTGTTTGGAGGCAGGAGCTCTGAACCCTCCAGATTAGGGAAAGAAGGGGCTTCTGCCATTTTCTGTTTTTTTTTTTTCTGTTTTTGTTTGTTTGTTTGTTTTTGGAGACAAGGTTTCTCTGTATAGCTGTTGGTTGCCCTGGGAACTTACTCTGTAATCCAGGCTGGCCTTGAAATGAGAGATCCACCTGCCTCTGCCTCCCAAGTGCTGGGATTAAAGGAATTTTGTTTCTTAATAGCGTCCTTCATTCCTGAGAGAGGATCTTGTTTATATTTATGTAGCCCAGGAGAGCCTTAAACTCACAATCCCCCTGCTTCACATGGGATTCAAGGTGTGTGTCCCAATGCCTGCATCTTAGCAGCTATATTAAGGTAAATGTTATGTCCATTCAGTCTGACAGACCTCTACCACACAAGAGGAAAACTGAAAAGTAGCTTGAAGGAGGGAAAATGAAACAAAACCAAACCCCGCCTGGGTGGCCTGGCAGCAGCAGCAGCAGCAGCAGCAGCAGCACACACCTGTTGTCCTGGCTTCTCAGGAGACAGAAGAGAAGGAGAGACAGCTGCTTGAACTTGGGGAGCATAATGAGACTTCATCTCAGACACAAACCAATGAGCAGAAACAAGAACAGGCTTGAAACAAGCAAATAAACACGAGGAAGGATCTTTGATCTGCTGTGCTGCACCCAACACAAGTTCTCTTCCATATTTGACTGAGGGAGGGAACCCCACAGCCAGGGAACATGGCTGAATTTACATCCAAACATCCAGACTAGCAATTCTGCAAGATACCAAGCAGAATCAAACTCCAAACATGACCACAGCCCACAGAGAATACAGTGCACATTCTATAGATGTAAAATATTTTATTTGTAAATGGTGATCTTCTAAATCTGTGTCCACAAATTCCAAAACCCATAACACTCTGTATACTTCAAAAAATTCAATTTTTGCCAACATTAGATACTATTATACAGAACAGAAAACAACCAAACTCGGGAGGACAAATACTGGTAGGATGTCAGAGTATTGTACAAGAGAAGAAAAATATTCAAGGAACAAATTTCATACAGCTATTTATCAAGAGAAAAATATATACAATTGATTTATTCTGTAAGATAAAAATACATCATGCCATATACATTACAAGCTGAGAGCTGAGTCACTGGATGTACCCACAGCTCACAGTCCACTCCAATTGTGCACACAAAAACTTCATTTTATACTTAGCCTGTGAAGTGTCAGTACCAGAATTTTAAGTACAAAATAAAAAGCTAACCTGGTTCAAATGCTGATTAAGTTTCTACAAGCAAACACAAAACAGTGTGTTTTTATTAAAGAAATGTAAACAAACAAGTTCATACAAACACATTT